CTCCTACTCCTACTCCTACTCCTATCCTTATTCCTTATTAGAATATACTCCTACTCCCCCCTCAGGCCGGCCAGATAGGGGCCGCATCCGGGTGGTCCCATCCTAACCTGTAAAAAACAATACAAAATCAACATTTTTTTATTTTTTCCTCTCGACATGGACGTCCTGTCGTCCACGGCGATAATCCATTGCAAAAAATACCACAAAGAGCACACGCGCGCGTTCATGTCAGAATCCTACCGAACACCGTGTGTTTGCAAGCATTTCAACATAAAAACATCAAAAAAACCAATGCTTTTTCACAAAAATTGTACAAATTTCCCGCCCTGGCTCTCTTGCTGAAATCATAGGAAAACCATAGGAATCTTAAGAATTCGGTCAAATCCAGCGATTTCACGTCATCGCGCGGTGCACTCGCGATGCTCTGTCATGCACCCAGGCCGCGAATCCTGTGCAAAAAATACCACAAAGAGCACACTCGCGCGTTCATGTCAGAATCCTACCGAACACCGTGTGTTTGCAAGCATTTCAACATAAAAACATCAAAAACCCAATGCTTTTTCACAAAAATGCTTTGGGGTGTCCTGTCAGACCGTCGGGCTTCCTCCGGCCACCTCTGGCTTCCTGCGGTGTACCGGGCCATTCTCGACTCGTCTGGCAATGCGTGCGCGGCATTCAACACGCGCTCGCCAGTTCCCGTCGGCAACCGCCATCGCGGCCGCATCAGCTGTACCAAACCGGCTGGCCGGTGTGACTTCGGCCCCCAGTTGTGCCAGCTTTGCTTCTTATGTTGGGAGGGCGGGCGGGACTGGGCATGCCATGCCTTGACTCGCTCGAGCTGGCTAGCTTGACTCCTACTCCTACTCCTACTCCTCCTATCCTTATTCCTTATTAGAATATACTCCTACTCCCCCCTCAGGCCGGCCGATAGGGGCCGCATCCGGGTGGTCCCATCCTAACCTGTAAAAAACAATACAAAATCAACATTTTTTTATTTTTTCCTCTCGACATGGACGTCCTGTCGTCCACGGCGATAATCCATTGCAAAAAATACCACAAAGAGCACACGCGCGCGTTCATGTCAGAATCCTACCGAACACCGTGTGTTTGCAAGCATTTCAACATAAAAACATCAAAAACCCAATGCTTTTTCACAAAAATTGTACAAATTTCCCGCCCGGGCTCTCTTGCTGAAATCATAGGAAAACCATAGGAATCTTAAGAATTCGGTCAAATCCAGCGATTTCACATCATCGCGCGGTGCACTCGCGATGCTCTGTCATGCACCCAGGCCGCGAATCCTGTGCAAAAAATACCACAAAGAGCACACTCGCGCGTTCATGTCAGAATCCTACCGAACACCGTGTGTTTGCAAGCATTTCAACATAAAAACATCAAAAACCCAATGCTTTTTCACAAAAATGCTTTGGGGTGTCCTGTCAGACCGTCGGGCTTCCTCCGGCCACCTCTGGCTTCCTGCGGTGTACCGGGCCATTCTCGACTCGTCTGGCAATGCGTGCGCGGCATTCAACACGCGCTCGCCAGTTCCCGTCGGCAACCGCCATCGCGGCCGCATCAGCTGTACCAAACCGGCTGGCCGGTGTGACTTCGGCCCCCAGTTGTGCCAGCTTTGCTTCTTATGTTGTGGGAGGGCGGGTGGGACTGGGCATGCCATGCTTGACTCGCTCGAGCTGGCTAGCTTGACTCCTACTCCTACTCCTACTCCTCCTCCTCCTCCTACTCCTCCTCCTCATCCTCCTTTTCAGCAGCAGCACCACCACCACCACCACCATCCTGCTCCTGCTGCTGCTCCTGCCCCTGCTCCTGCGGAGACATCCCGCATGACAGGACAGGACGGCGCGGCCCACTGGTCCTGGAGGCACGCGCCAGCGCAGGGGTGGACCTAAACGGTGTTTTGGCGATTTCGTGGGCCGTTTTCGTTTCGACTTCGTTTTGCTGGAAAGGCGGATCGAAGACAAAACGATGGAAAACGAAAACAAAACGGAAACGAATAACACTTTTTAGGTTCAGCCCTGCGCCAGCGTGCGTGGCCAGGTGTTCGAAAGCCTGGTGCGTCTCGGCGCCCAGGCGGCCCTGAGTGTCCAGAGCTACGATCAGCACCTGGCTCCCGTGCCTGGTCCGCCTGCCCCGGGCCGCCGCCGTTTCCGCCTCCCCTGCGGCAGTGGCCGTGCCCCGGTAGCGGGACGAGCGGGGGCGGCGGAGGGGCACGTCGACGCACAACGGCTGCACGGACCCTGGGATCGTAGCGGCCAGGTCCATGGCGGCTCCGGTCACGGCCGCCCCCGACTCCGACACCAGGACCAGCTCCGGCAGCACTCGATCCAGGTCGGCCTCTGCACGGCGCTCCTGGAGGCGCGCGAGTGCCGCGGCAGGGGCGTGGTGCGGGCGCCTGCGCGCAGGCCCGTGCCTGCAGAGCTGGGCACGCCGAAGGGCAGACCTTACGCTTACGCGTGTGGCGTTCTTGCTCCTTCTCCTCCACCTCCTCCTCGTCACCATCGTCATCATAGAGCTCGACGGAGCTCGAAGGGTCGAAGCAAAGGCGAAGTCATCTGGCTTGCGGCGCTTCGCTCCACGCGAAGCGCGATGCACGGCCTCCTTCGCGCCCTCGTGTCGCCTCCTGCAGAAGTAACTCCAATCCAGCCCGCGAAGCGCGAGGCGCGGCTACACTCAGCGCCGCTGCGGGGGGCCTCAGGCGAGGTGGAACGGGCAGGGGCACGGACCCGACGAGTGAGACACGCGTGCCCGTGGTCAACGGAGGCGACTGTCTTGTAAGATCGTCCTGCGTGAGGCTTCGGCCACCACGTTGCCCCTTCTGCACCCGGTGGGAGGGATAAGGAAGAGGAGGAAGTAAGGTAGTTTGATACTACGGCTGCCTAACCTTGGCAAGTTGGCCCGCTCGTGTGAACGATGGGCCGATGTGGTGCGTACCGTCTGCGCCGACGACGAGGACGAAGACGATGACGACGACGAAGATGAGGGCTTGTCTGGCTTTCTTCCGTCAGGCAGCATTCGAACTCTGAGGGAGGAGGAAGCAGAAGAAAGATGGTGAGGGAGCGGACGCTGCTCCAGGTCGCTCGCGCAGCGGACCCATTGATTGGAAGCCGCTCTCCATCAAGCGCAATGACGTCGCACTGCGACCCTGACACTCGCCGATCAGGCAGTAAGAAAAGAAGGGGCGGTGACAGAATAATTGTGGCGCCGTGCATGCCCCGTTGCGGCGGTCTTAGTGGCGCGCACGACGTCAAAACTGCGAGACACCTCAGCAGTGGCACCTGGGCGAACGTGGTCCCGACGCGCGCCATCATAAACGCCGCCCTTCTTGTTGTACACCCAGGTGCCAAACATACACACTGCCACTCCGACGGACTGCAACGCCTGAATTTGATTTCCAAAAACCACTACCGATACGCCTATGTTCGGGTGCGCTCAAGAAGGTGGCGGCAAGAGGGGGGTTAGCGCGTCATGGCCCGAGGGATGTGCGCGGACGAGGGGGAGCCGGGGAGTGCACTGAAAGAAAAAGAGGGGTGGCATGACATCGGGGAGGTCCCATGGCCCTGTCCACGATATCCACACATAATCCTCACCATCTCTTCGTCGACACCTGGTGATTTTCGGGTCATATCTTGGACCTCCTGCGGCCGTTCGGGACGACTCGGGCACCCATGGAAACCGATCAACAACACGCAAGTGCTGCAGAGCATCTCGGGGCGATAGAACCTCCAATAACGACCGCAACTTCCTCGAACTGAAAACAAACAGGACCAGAGACAAACGAGAAACGCTGTTTTTGTCTACTCGGCACATCAGACGAAGAAGAGACGAAAAGAGATAAGGACGACAAGGAGGCGGGTGAGAACAAGGCCAGTATGTGGGACGAGGGTACAGCGAAAACCAGAAGGACTACAATGAGAAAAACGACAGCGATGACAAGGATAATGAACACACGGGTAAGTGGCACAAGATAAAAGACGACCAACATCAACGAATAATGGTGGCAAAAAACAACATGTAAGTCGAGATTGGGAGAGCGGGACGACGACGAGGAGGACAACGCTATCGAGGAGGAAGGAGACGAAAATGGAAAGTTGGACAATGCGGGGAGAGGACGGGGTCAAGCGGGAAAACTACTAGGAGAAGTACAAAGTGAAAACCAGCATGGAGGACAGCATTAGGCCACCAGGGAGGACGAGAAGGAGGATGTCGACCAAAAGAATAGGAACGAGGAGCACGAGTAGAGGGACGAATGGGGGAGGGCACCTAAGACTAAGAGGATAAGGACAACGTGGAGGACAACTAAGAGAAAGACAAAACGAAAGAAGGCGTGGAGGACAATAGTGCGACAAAGAAGAGGGGGACAAAGCGATGACTACGGAAACGAGGGTTGGGTCAGCGGATGCGGTCGTCCTGAGCGGACGTGAATACGGGTGCTACGCATCTAATACGTGGTTGGTGCCTGGCTGGGTTTGAGCCAAACGGCATCGGGCCCGCAAAAGGAAAGCTCGGCAGGCAAATGGGAGAACGCTGACAGCCAGAAAGCGGACCGAAGATGACAGAGGCTACCTACCGTTCGAGTCTGGTATTCAGGCATATCTGCCACTGCCCCCTCGGCTGCAGCGCGCAAGCAGCGCCGCCACCAACGAAGCATCATAGACACTTGCGCTGAGATTGGACACCTGAATTCCGGAATGCTCTGGGAGGCCAGACTTCACGTCGCCCAAAGGCACCTTGGCCCCCAAAATGCCAAACTCAATGAACCGATTTTGCGGCATGCGAAGACGGGGCGACAACTACTCCCGGCATGGTTCCTAGAGCAGGCCGAAACAGGCTGACGTAGCCCGAGAGGGAAGGCGGGTCTAACCAGGGGCCTTCTACTGACAGGGTCTCCCAGATTACAGGAGGAACGGGAAGAGCAGACAACTGGGGGGGCACACTGAGATGGCCAACGTGCTGCACGCCAAAATCTGCTGCTCCACGAGAACGCTCCATGGTGCAAACCCCCAGTTGCATGACTCGCTAAATCGCATTTGCGACAGCAGTTCGCCTTGTGCGATTTTCGCTCACGCGTCCTGCTACTTCGCATTCGCGAACACGACTCATGCTACGCGGCTGTTTTTGCCTCTCCCCACATCGCGCGCGCGAGCGCAGTTCGCGACGTGCGACCGCCGGCGCGACGTTCTGCAGCCGAGAAGCGACAGCTGACGCGGCGCAGCGACAAGCAACAACCGCTGCCGCAAACCGAAAAGTGACAGTTGAGTCGGCGAACCGATAAGTGACAGCTAATGCCGCGGCATGATGCAATGAACTTGCGGCTGTTCAATCCGCGGGCGAAAACTGCCCCTCATCAGTCCCGAGGTCGCTGTGGCGGGAGCTGGGCAAGGTCTCCCCTCGGCCCTCGTCGCTGAGACTGACCGCGGCGCGGTCGTGCGTGAGCCCCCCGCGCATCGCGTCCAAGACCAGCTCCTGGCCGACGCCCCCCCGCGCCATGGGGGCGGCCCCCGCGCCGTGGGCATCGCGCCGAAGCGCGTCGGTGATCTGCTTGGCGCGGAGTTGGTCGGGGAGCAGGCGCGGGCGGCCTGCCGCGCCGCGCGCTGGGGGGGGGCGCGCAGGATCCGCGGCGATGGCCCCGAAGACGGACATCCCGTCCACGACTGGGGTTGCCGGCATGGCGCGGCCCCCATCCCCCCCCGGCCCACCATCTCCTCGGCTGAGAAAGCGCCCCGAATCATCTCGCGGGGCGCGAGGAGGTTGGCCCGCGACCCATTAGCTCCGCCACGCGCTGCGAGCAGCTCGGAGACGAATGAGGACCCGCGCGCAAGTCTTTGCAAGCGGCTCGCGGCATCGAGCAGGTGGCAGACCTCCTTGGCGGCACTCGCCGAGGCGCATGTAGACGGCGCCCCCCATGCCCCACCCCGTCTCCTCCTCCCTCTTGAAGGACCCGTCGCCGTGCGCGCAGATCTGGCCAGCGCTTCCCACGGCTGGAAAGGCGACGCGCGCCCTGTCTTCTGCATGGCGATGACCGCAGAATCGAGCTGTGCAGCACGTCGTACAAGCAGCTTGTTTTGGCCCGCGGCAGCGCCGCAATGCGCGCTGCGACGCGGGCGCTGGTTAGTCCGCGCGCGGCAGCTGCTCCCAGCCAGGAGACGAATAGGTCGGGCATCATTTGACCTCCCGCGGACTCGTCAGCCTTCGCTTTGACCAGAGCCACGTGCCAGATCGGAACGAGGGCGTCGATGTACTCGTCCTGGTCGAGCGCCACCGCGCCGTCGGCGCTGCGGCGTTGGTGGGCGACGCAATTGGTGAAGTCGTCGCAGTCCTCATACATCTGGCCGAGAACGCTCTCGACGCGGCCGATGAGCTTGTCGACGTGCTCAGCAATGTCCAGCGGCCTTCAGATCCTCGGCCTTTTTGGACACCGCGAGCGGAAGCTTTAAATCGCCGACGTCGCAGTTGCTGGACGCCTCATGCTTGACATCGAGCTCCGGGCCCCGCCTGGCGGGTTTGGCGCTGCGCTCTGGTGCGCGCGTGACCCGTGCGAGCTTCGTAGAGAAGGCCCAGGGTGCGCCCTTGCAGCCCGCGCCCCGTTCGACGCAGCGCAGACGCACGGTCCTCGTCGAAGGGCGCGTGGCCAGGCGCCCGCCTGAGGAAAGCTGCGCTGCTGGGCGGCAGGGTGCAGTTCACCTCTCGTGGTGCTTCACCTGTCCCCTGCTTGTCGGCATGCGCCATGCCCTGCTGGGGCGCCACCTCGACGTCCACGGCGACGTGGACCCAGCCCTGGCGGCGCGCCAGGGCTGGGTCTAGGCTGCGCGCGCTGCGAGGCGCGCGTGGCCGTCCACGCGAACGTCCTCAGGGCGCGAACGTCCATGTCGCGGAATGCTCTGAGCGCCATGCGGCGCCAGATGAACCGCGCGGTCTTGCCGTCGCGACCTCTCCGGTGCTTCGGGGTCCGCGGCGTTTCGGGCGCCCTTGAATGGTCGCCGCTCGAAGCGCCTGAACTTGACCCAGATGATGAGATCTTCGGGAATGACTGCGGACACCTCCTTGGACAGCCTGGACACCCTTTGACTAGTCAGGAGATCGGCGTCGCGCTGAATGTTCGCGGTCTTGAAGGTGGCGCGCGCGCCAAGGCGTTCCAAGAACTGCCGGCGACGCAATTGCTGGGCGCTTCCTCGTTGAAAGTCAGGAATGTTTCGCGCGCCCCTGGGCCAAGGCCCAGCTCCACGCGTCTTCCTCGTTTGTCCTCCTCCTCTAGCGCGGCGAAATCGCCCAGGGCGGCGCCGCGCAGGTAAGAGCGGCACTGCGCGTAGACGCCTTGGCGCTAGTGCTGCGTCTCGAGGCGCTGGGGCCAC